ACCCCCCCACCCCCCCACCCCCCCCCCCCCCACCCCACCCCACCCCACCCACCCACCCACCCACCCCCCCCCCCCCGCCCACCCACCCGCCCACCCGCCCACCCTTCCCAGCCGCCCTTCGCCCGCAGGCAACGCAGACGACGCCAGAGTCGCCATGCCCCGCTGAGTTGAAGTCGGACCGCCAGCTGAGCGCAGGAGAGAAGCTCGAATCTCAAAGACGAGGGGGCCGCAAAAAGACTGGAAGCAGGAACAGGAGCAGCATCAGCAGCAGAAGGATCAGAGGCAGATTCCAAGGGCAGGAGCAGGCGCAGGAGCAAGCGCCAGGAAACAGCAGACGGAGGAGGAGAGTCTGCTCCACAGCCCGCTCCAAGCACGCCGCCCGCCAGGACAGTCCGAGCTGTGGCCCCCCCGTCCCCGCCGCCCAGCGCAGGACTGAACTCGTCGAATTCGCCAGTGCGCGATGAAGGGGGGATGCCAAAAAAAGAGGCGGAAGCGATCTTCGGGCTGCAAAGAAACACGAAGCGCTTGAGAGAGAACGCGAAGAAGAGGAGGAGAAGGAGCGCCAGCTTCACGATCTAGAGATAGACCTGGCTTCGAAGAAGATGGAAGCATAACGCGAGGGAGAAAAAGGAACGATGAGACTTGAGAACGAGAGAGCCGAGGAGGAGATGAGAAAAGCTGAAGAGGGGAAAGCAGCTGCGAAGCTGAAGAGAAAACAGGGGAAGGAGGAGCGAAAGACGGAGCGACAGCAGAAACGAGAGGAGCACGAGCAGCCAATGCAAACATACAGGCAGGTGTTCGAGAGAGTCGAAGGGGTTGCAAGCAGTTGATGAAACACGAGAACAAAACAAAGAGAAAGAGAGAGAGAGAGAGAGGAGCTACTGGAAGAGGACGCCAAATCTTTGGCAAGCATGGGTGCACCAGGAACCCAAGAGAGCGAGCGACGCGCATCCGAATCGCTGCAAACCGCCGCCCCTCCCCCCCCCCCCCCCCCCCACAAGAGGCAAAACCGAACTCGCGAGGGCGCCCCGGGAATTTCCCGCCCCCTTCCAGGCCGTAGAGTCTGCGGCGCCGACCCCGAATATGGACGCTGCGCAAGTTGAGGCCGCGGACGGGGGCAACCTGGTGAAGCTACTTCAGGCGCAGACCACATGCATCCAGAATGAATCCGCAATTCCGCGCTCGGAGGAGAAGGCCCACGCTGTAATGCAGGCCACGCCCGCTGATCTTTACATGGCAAATCTGCTGACGAAGGTGGAAGGGATGAGGAAAAAGGATCCTGGGTACTTCTGAAGAAGAATGGCGACAACGACGAGGATGAGGATTTCGATGCTGTCTTCGACCAGCTAAGCGCCGATGACAAAAAAAGAGAAGATGTACTACGACAAGATGGAGACAGCGGGATACAAATTCACCCTGGACACCACTCAAGGTAATGAAGATGCAGGGCGACGGAACTGCGCGAAGGAAGCAAGCAAGACGATCCAGGAGGAATACAGCCGCCACCCCTCCCTCGGAGGCGTCATTGGTGGGGTTCTTCTGAGTCCATTCGGCGGCGGTGGCGCGCAGTTCGATGGCCGCGTCGTTCATGGGAGCTTTCGCGGCGCGCGCCTTCGACCGCGTCCAGCTCGGCGTCGGCGCCTATATACATGCGTTGACGACCTGGGCACGACCCTCTCTGGCGCGGGCGACGGGGGCGTCGAAGCTCTTGCCCCTTCCTCGCTCGGCTTGCAGCGGGCCTCCACTCCTTGCTCAGGCTGCGCGCTGGCCATGGACGAAACAGGCCGGGCGCGCAGCCATCGAGCTATTGCGGCGCGCCCGCTTGGGAGATAGGCTGGGCGAGCTCGCTGCGCAGCCGACGTCGGCCGTCGCAAGTTTTGGGGCGGGTTCGACGGCGGGGGGAGCTCCTGGCCCAGAGGAATCCAAACCCGCAGCTCGGGCTCCAAGCGACGCCAGGCAGGCCTCCTCGCCCAGAAAGTTGGGGGGGGCAGATGCACGGCGGGCACGGGGGGGGGGCCGACGTTGGGATTTTTGCCCGGGGCCTCTGTCGGCGCGTCGGACCTCGAGCTGCGCAGTTTCATCTCCCCCAAGTCCCATCGCCGCTCCTTCACTGCCCTCTCGTCGTTGGAGCGGGTCCTCCGTGGCGAGCCAGCGCTGCGCCTCCTCTGCGTCCGCGTAAGGAGCCGCGGCTGAATCGGACCCACCGCTCCGAAGGCGCGCCGCCGTTTGCCGAGGCGCTCGCGGGGAAGCCACCGTTTCGAGGGGAGACCTGGGCCCAGGCCAAAGTTGGGCGCCCATGTTTGGCGTTCGGGATGACGCGGCGCAGGCCGGGTTGGAACATGATCGAAAGATTGCAACAAAAACCAAGGATTGCAACAAAAACCGAAGGATTGCAACAAAAACCAAAACCCTTGTACGAAGGTTGTTCTTGCAATCCTTTGTTGCAATCCCTGGTTTTTGTTGCAATCCTTCTGTCTGCATTCTGGTCGATGACATGGGCGGGGCCGTTGCCCCCCCCGCCCGAAGCTCGACGCCCGTTCTGCCGGGCTGCGGCGATCCGGGGCCTGGACAGACAGTATGGTGAAAAGGTTGGGGCCCCCCATCGATCAAGTTGTGGCGACGCGTCTTGGCGTGCCAATAAGCGTGCCGAATATTGTTCGACATGTTTTTAGAGCACTTCTGGCTGGGACTGTGTTGTTTTAACACATCGGGCTTATGCTATAAGAACCTTGTGTTTGTTATTTGGACATTGTTGCGTTTTTCGAAGACTTCGTGGTTGGCCTATAGGAATGCCGGGACGGTCGGTCCCTGCCGAAATAGGATTTGCAGGGAGGCTGCGAAGTCCCGTCTCGGGTCCAAAGACGCCAGCCCCAAGGGTCGGTCCACCGGTGGAGCCCTTGCCTGCAACGCTATCTGGCAGCTGCTCCGGCGCGTCTCGCAGGCTACTTGGTATGAAGTCAGTGTTTGCAGGCGGCGGGCACCTTTTGGCATCGCACTTCGGAGTGTCCAGCGCGCGAAGTACGACGTAGGGAGCTCGTGAATGCCGGTAAGCTGGAAATTGCCTTGGATATCGAGGTTGAAGATTTCGAGTGGCCTTATGGATTCACGAAGGGTACACGCACCTTGTGGCCCAGGGGTGTATTTGCCACGTCCCAGTTCAAGTGGTTAGATTATGATTCATTGTGTCGTTCCCGAAATCTGCCGCCTGGGAGACCCTGGGCCCACTCCGACCTCTTCTGATTTGGGTGTTGGGGGGCCACTTCTCGTCGACGGCGAGTGCATTCATCACTCTGCGCCCGCGCTGTGCCACAACGCCTGGAGCGTCGCCATGACAGATGGCGCAGGTGCGCTTCTGTGCGACGAGTTCGGCCGCCCGATGCGCAGTCGCCCCAAGCTGATTTGATCGCGTAATTGGCGGATTCTCGAGCGCGTTCACTGATTGCAGAGCTGTTGTCAAGCAGGACCCCGTAGGTCTCGATTCGTGCCAATCACCCACGAATCAATATTCATTTTTTTGTTGCAGGGCCTCTATCTGGCGGGGGACATGCTGAATACCCCGGCCAAAGTAGACGCCCGCAAAGATCCCGATGGACCTGGAGAGCGCCTTCACAGGTTTGGCAACGACCTGGCCAACGCGAGGGCCAAGACAAGGAGGAGGAGGAGGAGGAGCAGAAGAAGGAGGAGGAGGAGGAAGGAGGAGGCGGTGGTGAGGTTGAGAACTGATATCAGGAAAAAGGAGGAGGGTAAGAGCTCCCACTTCAGGACGCACACTGTCGACACCCAGCTGGCCATGCTGAGCTCCTCGGAGAAACAGGCGCTCCGGGAACTCTCCGCGGCCGCGCCGCAGGAGGTCCAGGGCGCTCTCCGGGCGGCCATCGGTTGACGCCGTCGGCCCGCGCGGCCCAGTTTCGGAACCATCGCCAGGGACCCAGACATCCGTCGGATCGATGTTTTTCGCAGGCCTAGAGGTTGACACCAACACGGACATCGGCGGTGTGCCTCCACCGAAGGAAGAAGATCCCGTTCTCGGCGATGGTGGTAGTATTCTAGCTCCCGAGGTGACCGAAATGTTACCACCAAAGCCGAAGTCTAGGATCACCTTCCCCCTGGAGCCAACCCCCTGTGTTGGTGTTGGTGCCCATTTCCAGGCCTCCAAAGTTTGTTGTTCTGATTCACACCCTGCGCTTTCGCCCGGTTTCAAGCTCGGGGCCCTCACGTACCGATCCGGCTCGAGAGTTGCAGCGGAGGCGGGTAGGGGACCGAGGGCTCCAGTATTGCTTTTTCGCTATGCCGCGTTTTTCAACGACCCCAGATCAGGGAATCGTGGCGTGTTTCCTTCGTTCTGGCCTCCGGGGGGCGTTGTCGAGGCCCGGGGCCATCAGAAATGGGTCTGGGACGACGCGCTGCCCCCGGGAGAAGGACTGAGGCCTCTGAGGCGCGCGGACCGAAACAACCACGTCGTCGGACGTCTGGGGAGGCGTGGGCGACGTCGACAAGAGGGGTCCGCTGTGGGCGCTGCCCGCGCAGGGTCGCGCGCAGGCGCCCTTTCCTCAACGCAGTGTGCCGCGCTGGTGGCCCGCGTAGGCCATCGCGCAAAGTCTTCGCGTCGTCGCGAGGAGGACCCCTCCCTGTTCTCGTCGCCCACGTTTCTTCCTTTGCGAGCTTCTGCAGTCTCACCGGTGTAGGAAGACCCCCATGGGGCTTGATTTATGTCCCTTGCGCTTGCTGTGCGTGCGGAGCCGCACGCTCTGTGCATGATCATGCGCCCTCGGTTGGCATGACAGACTGGCCGAGCCAGCGAGCTGCACTTCGTCCGCTCCACAACAGGGCAAGTCACCGCCGCCATCGCTACGATAGCATTCGGCACCGGTCCGGCTGGCGCTGGCGTCAGCGAGTCCTGTTTTGAGACAGGATCGTCAGAGAACACGCGTTGAAGGAGAAAGTGTATGAGGGCCGTCTTCGTGGCCACCAAGGATCAACGGGCCAAGGATCGGTACGAG